GAAGTCTACTTACCAATTCTTTCTTTAATCTATCATTCCTTTAGTAATGTATCTAAATTAATTGTCAAACCCAAAGGAATCTAGACTTTCTCCTAGAATTTTTATAGTTTTGTGTTTTACTTTTATTGTGTGATTCATCTTGATTTTCTTTTTTATTTTAGTTTTAAATGTAAAGTGGGAGAGCTTATTGAGATGAAAAAAGAGTAAAGTAGGAGAGTAGAGATTCCCCCATCCAAAGAGAGGGTGCCCCTTGAATTACTTGTGGTGAAGTATGTAAGGACTTTTTCTAGGGCTTGTTTTTGGCATTATGTGCATCAAATTTTGCCGAACCATTTGTTGAAAAGACAATCTCTTCTCTATTGCATTGTCTTTGCTCCTTTGTCAAAGAACATGTGACTATATTTAATTGTATTTATTGTACTTATTCTTTCTCCTTTACTCCTTTATATAGATCAAGATTTATAGTCTATATAATTTTTCTGTCTAAAGAACTTCTTTAATATTTTTTACAAGGTATGTCTACTTGCAACAAATTTCCTAAATTTACGTTTTTCTGAGAAAGTCTTTTCTTCTTCACTTTTGAAGGATAACTTCACTGGGTATAGTTTTTTACATTGTCAGGATTTTTTTTCCTTTTCCTCTCAACACTTTAAATATTTCACTTCAGTCTCTTCTTGCTTACAAAGTTTCTGAGAATAATTCAGACATATAATTATTGCCTATGTTTCTCTATATAAGTGATATTCTTCTCCCCTTTGACTTCTTTCACTTTTTTTTTTTTTTTTTGGTATTGGGAATTGAACTCAGGGCCTCACGTCTAGGCAAGTGCTGTATTATTGGAGCATTACCCATTGTCCATTAGTAATTTTAGTTTGCTTTTCAAATAGGGTCTCTACCTAACTTTGCCTGGGATGTCCTCCAACTACAATCCTACTCTGCATCCCAAGTAGATGGGAATGCAGGTACAAACTACCGGGCCTGGCAACTTTCATATTTATTTTAATCTTTGAAAACTATGTGGAGTTATATTTTTTGGGGGGGGTTGCATTTATCCTTTCCAGAATCTGTGGTTTGATGTCTGATAAAAATTTGGGGAATTCTCATCACTATCATTTCAAATATTTCTTCTCTGCCTTCTCTCTTTCTTTCTAGTGTTCCCATGATGTATTTATTATACCATTTATAGTGCTCAATAGTTCTTTGGCATTCTTTTGCTTTTTTTTTTCTGGCTTTGTTTCTTCTACTTTGGAAGTTTCTATTCATATATATTCCATTTCAGAGAATATTTCTTTGACAGTGTGTGGTTTACTAATAAGCCTATCAAAGCCATTATTTATGTCTGTTATATTATTTTTGATCTGTAATATTTCATTTTAGTTCTTAGAATTTCCACCTTTCTGCTGTTATTGCCAATCTTTTCTTGCATGCTGTCTACTTTATCCATTAAAATCCATACTGTATTAATTAGAAATATTTTATTTTAAATTATTAAATTTCATTCACTTATTGTTTTGAGACAGGGTCTTGCTATAAATCCCAAGGTGACCTAGAGCTCCCTATGTAGCCTAGGTGAGCCTTAAACTCACAATCCTCCTGCCTTAGCCTACTGATTGCTTGAATTAAATGCATGTACACCACATGCTTATTTGTGTTTTAAATTCCTAATCTATGGCTTGCTAATTCAGCATCCCTGCCATATCTGAGTTAGGTTCTGATGTTTTTCTTTGTCTCTGCAAACAATGTTGTTGTTTTTGATTTTTTTCTTTTCCTTTTTTATCTTTTAGAATGTCTTAACGTGATGGCCTGGCATGACAAACGTGGTAAAAGGGTTTGTTTCGGTAGGACTTTAAAAATGTGGTGCTGAGGTGTCCAGGGGAGCATTATGTAGTTTTATGTTTAAGACTCAGTCTTTTACTAAGACTATGTTTAACTGTGTTCTTCACATTCAGCCTTTCTTCCTCCTTACATGCAACAGGGTGTATACAGAGAGTTGCAGTAGAAATATTCCCTTCTGTAGGTCAGTTGAGGCTCTGACAAAGTCCCAGCATTTTGGATTCTGCTTAAGTTGTTTCCCCTGAAGACATACTTTGTGAAGAATAACAGAATGCATTGGTATATTTTTAAATGGCTCCTTTCCCCCTATCTGTACCAGAAGAACAAAAGGATATTTTTATGGTATTTACTGTTTAAAACACATTCAGCTTCTGGAAATAAAATTCACAAAAGTGTGACTATTGATGACTAGGTGCCATGGAGCTTTTGTCTCTTGGACTACTCACACTAAGTCTATTGAAAATTTTTAATTGCAGTTCAGATTTCATATCTTAGCTCTCGCTCCCAAGAAGGTCACTACTTATGGGTTTCTGCTCAATTATGTTGGGCATCTAGTTTATGGTATCATTCTATATGGAGACAAACAGATAAACATTATAGTCAGGAGAGAGGTTATAGGTTCCAGGGGTTAAACGGATAGCAGTAATGGTAGATGTGGCAAGAAGCAAACAGATTTGAGATACATTTTGAAGGCAAAGACAGTGTCTTAATTGTTCAAAAAAAGACATTTATTGAAGAGAGATATTAATAATGAAAGATTTTTAGCTTGAGCAGGACTGAGAGGCATTTACTGACACAAGGAAGTAAGGAATGACCCTAAGATAGGGACAATTCCTCCAGTGAAATATCAGGGAAGTGAGACAGTGAAAGACAGAAGCAAAGAGGTTGCTCTCTTTGGTGGAAGTGGGAGAAATGGCATTTTTTTATTATTGTTTTCAATATTTGGTTAAATTATAACTCATATAATTAAAAACTCATCATAAGAAAGTAAGAAGAAAGAATGTTATAGTTCAAGGGATAAGAAAAGATATAGAAAAAATATCAGAGAAAATTAGAGGCATAATTTATTAAGGAATATTGAATGAATTCTACAAATTACCCAAAGGCTCACTTGAGATCCATGATTAAAAATTTTAAGTGTGAATTAAGCAAGGGTGGGTGCTTTTCTCTAGCTATATTAGGCTTCTTAAGCAAGGTCAGAATCAGGGGAATTTTGAGTTTAACCAGTAATGTTTTAACATGGCCATGTGAGATAGGACAGGGAGTTGAAGATTACCAGGGAGTGGTTTTACTTTTGGGTTATAGAACCCACTTAAATAAAAAGACAAAGGCAGATTAGAGAATGAAGAGTGAAAAGAGGTGGAACTGTATTAAATAAGATCATTAAAGTTGGAAAAAGAGTACTAGAAAGAAAAAAATGGTATTTAAAGAACAAAGTTATTAAAATTGAGATTTAGAAAGGATTGGCTTTATTGGCAGTGAAAACTTGTATGGTATGACCATGGAAGTGATTGGTTGAGTTAAAAATGGATAAGTATTTATTATTGAAGTAGAGATTTTAAGAAACTGAGAAAAGAGATTATTGAGATCTTGTAAACATATCCACATATTTACATAACAAATGAAGCATGTAAGTAAGTGAATAGTTGCTCAAAAACAATGGGAAGAGATTGTCTTACACTTTGTATTTCAAATAATATGCAAGTTTTGAAATGGTAAAGAAAACAGAATGGAAGTGACCAGAACATATACCTTACTTCCAGACACTATGTTATGGAGTGTGGTTAATAGTTGGAAAGGTTGTAAAAGAATCAATTACCACGAATTTCAGAGAAAACCAATGGAAGGTTTAGAGAGCTAAAAGATGGTTGATACTGGCTTAAAAAATAATTTGATGATGATGTATGATCTAGATGGGTTGAACATTTTTTGGCTAATAAACATGGCGTTAATAGTAATAAATTTAGTATGCTATTTATGTGCTTCAGAATATCTATCTGTCATCACCTGGACATTCTTACTTTAGGGAGCACACTCTTAATGACTGGTCACTTTTAAATATTGAGGTTTACTGGATGTCAAGAGATGGTGATAATGAGAAGTCATGGTTTCAAACTCAGATCTGTGGACTTCTTCTAAATCACTCTGTAAGTAGGATTAAGTCTAGAGTAAGGATAATCTCATAAAAAAGAATGTGTAGTTCTAAAGTCTCCTTAACAACTTGAGATCTGATATCATCCTTCACAGATGACAAAGGACGAGATTGCAGTCCTGTGAGGAGATATTTTCCCAGACTTTATAAGAGAGAGAATCTAGAAAGTCTACAAGTGTATAAAGGCTGTAAGGTCTGATGAGACCATAAGTTCAATTTTAACAGAAATTTAAGAGGACTTATTTAAAGTATATGTTTTGCCTCAAAGATGCCTTCTCAATGGGGAACAATATTAGCCATAAAAATACCTCAATGAAGTAAAAAATGAAGACATAAAGTCTTGGCTCAAAATATGGAAAAGAGAAAAAATAGAATGTAATTCTTTTAACAGAAGTAAATCTGCAGTGAAGCAAATAATTCTGATGGCTTATTGTTTTTTTTATTAGCTATCAAATTCATTTAATAGGTAAATTATTCACTTAAAAACCATTCACTAAAATGGGCATAATTGACAATATGTTATTAATCATTCTTTGGATGGTTCTATTTTAGCACAGTTACTTTACCTATATCTGGGAGATGCATGAGTAAGTCTTAGAAAAGAGTGTACATTTCTCTCAATTAAACAAAACTGTCAACTAATAAAAGTGGTGTCATTACTCTGTTTTGGATCAATGATAAGTAGGTTAGATTTCGTTAAAATATCTATAATTTCATATAAGATGTCAGACATTTGACTGTTGAAACAACCCATAATGTGTATTGCAAACTTATAAAGCATTCTATATATTGTGATTAATATCTACTCCAACCGTACATAACACATCATGCTCAACATCTAGATTTATTTGAAAACATTTAGCCCAGTTTATATTAATACAGAAAAATCACATCTAATGAAACACAATTTTAGACACAAAATAAGAAGTTTCTGGCACATTTTCACACAAATGTAGTTAGATATTTAGTTAAAGGATGATAAATCACAAACACATATAGGTAAACATTTATCTTCTCAGTAGTAGTAAGAACCTCTTTTGAGTATATAAGGTCTCCTAGGTTTATTCTCATACAGCTGCCTTTTCAGAATGTAAGGGATTTTTCTCTTTATGACTTCTTCCTTCTCATTTTTGTCATTCCCATTATCAAGAATATTTTCCTGAATTATCTGCAAATAGAGAGAACCAGAGTGAAACTTACATGCATAAAATCTTCCATTTCAGATCATTTTTTCTTCATTTTATCCCATTTGCTGTGTAGACCTCAAAGTAAGTACATGATCAAATAAATTTTGTTAAAAGACAGATGGGTATGAAGTGGCTGAGATGGGATTTAAACATAAGCTTTTTTATTCTCTGCTTAGTTGCTTTCCTAGTTCATGGACTGGATCTTAAGAAAGTTCTCTCTGCTTATAGGCCTAACACTAATCTCTCCAATTAAAGAGATCTAAAACTTTCAGTTTATAATGAAGAGACTGAAATGATTTGTAATGTCTATATATCATTGCAAATAACAGTTTTGAATCTGGTAAACCAATTTTGTCCAAAAAAGTCACAGGATTTTATATTCAATTAAGTCAATTACTGAGTTGAACTGAAAGCCATTCCAAATATCCCTTTCTCAACACAGAAAGAGGAATATCTGTTCTGCCTAACTCATCCTGCTGTGGTAGATATCAACATATGCAAAAATCTCTGTTTAAATGGATACAATCGCTTTAGATTGTGGTTATCTTCTAAACTTTGGGGTCAGTATAACTAATACTGACACCTAAATTACAATGCACATGTATAACAGCGCATCACCAAGAATTTTATTTCAAACCACAGCTATTTAATTTCAGAGAAGAAAAACCAACTACTGTCAATCTATTTTCTTAATCTTTACTTTCTTTGTGCATAGTCTGTAATTACTTGTATTGTGCTCAGAATGACATTGTCATTTTATTTTTAAATCACTCAACATTTAAAATAGCAAAAGTTCTAATCTTATGTGCACTTGACTTGTTTGCATAATAGTTTATTGAGGTTTTTATTTTTCTGGATAAATAACACATAATTGACATTTCCCTATTTCAGATTTGTGTTTTCAAGTTTTATTGACTTAATACTAAAAAGACTAACACATTTAGCTGGAATTAAAATTAAAGGCAGAACAGTGCAGCAAGTAAAATTAAAGCTAGTTTTTTTTTGTTTGCTTGTTTCTCATCTGGAAACCATCTTTTTGTTTACTAGTTAAAATAAACAATAGAAGTTCTGCTTGCATTTCTTTTCCAGAGGGATTCTTCGTGGTATTTAGTCACAAGTTTGGTACACATTAGCAGAGAAGGCATCCTCAGATCTTCAATGTTGGTGTAAACCCAGAATATAAAAGACTTAACAAATTGCTCTTGGAGATTAATCTGAAAAAAAAGTTTCCTCTCCTGGGAATTTTTTTTTTAATATTTCTTCCTGTTTTCAAGCATCTATTACTCTTCATTCTCCTCTTCTTTAGCTACAGCATTTTCCCATGTCATTCTAAAGCTCCAATTTATCTTTGAGCATTAATGAGGTCATGGCAATAAAATGTTTTCCAAGTACATATTTGTAATAATTGTCAAATTACTAAATTTTGAAAATAATTTTCCTTTTAAAGATAGATTAAAGAATCTTTAAAATTTTTCCCTTGATGCTGTCATGATTACTGTTTCCTCAGTAGGAGAGAAAGGTGTAAAGTTAGAGCCAGTATTTTTGGAACAAAACATAACATTTTCAAACCAAAAGCAAGAAGTTACCAGTATTTATTACAAGGTATTTAAGCAGTCATTTTGTGCAACTCTGGAATTTGGTTGACTTGGCTATTATAGACCTAGTTTAGTTGCTAAAAATAGGAAGACAGACAGACAGACAGAAAGATACACACACACACACACACACACACACACACACACAAGTCATGTGTGTTCAGCTATAAATAAGCACAGAATACAAAGGGTCCCAAATAAACTGGAATGATTGGGATATATATTCCTATTAATTATTTTTATATAACTTTATTCTCATTCTATTTGAAAATTTTTATATTATGCTTGTTTACAGATTAGTACACATGATGTGTTTTTAAGAAATCATTTCAAGTTCCTTACATTTCTTAGACATGTCACCATTTCATCACTAGCAACAAAAATTTCCTAAGTATATTATCCATTTAAACACAATGAAAATATATGGATCAATTCTGCCTTAAGATATATCCTCCTTTTAAGATTTAAGAAAATATATTTTGATAAACTCCAAATACTTAAGGGACACTTCGAAGGTCTGAAGAAATGGTGACCTCAACACATGGTTTATTCATCTTGAATATTGCTCAGTTTCCCTCTTATGATATGACCAGGATATAAAAATCAATGCAAATGTGAGCTAACCAGTACATGATAATTATACTCATATTTTGTTTTTGCTTTTTACCTCCCACTGTTGAAAGGCCCTGCTGTGGCAGATTTTTTGGAGTTGATATATGGTCAGCATAGCTTCTAAGCTAAAGCCATCTAAAACAATTGGAAGTTTTCTTCTTGTAACAATTTCTTCTTCATTCTCCTCTCCTGCTTCCTCAGCTTGGCTTTTCAGGTTATTTATGAGACTACAAACATTCAGCAGGGTCATTTTCCAAGAGGGAACACTTGCTTTACTGATCTGAAATACAGAAAAAAAAAAAAAAAAAAGAAATGGCAGTTAAAATTTTTGTTATAAGAAATAAATCCATTGTGCAAAGCCATTATAATTACAATTTAAGATTTCTTTATTACTCTTATGTAATAAAAAAGTAATAGTAATTTTTTCACTTCATGTCATACATTTTCCTAGTTCCATTATATCATTTCTTTTATTTAACAGAATGTAATAAAGTTATACACCCACAAGAAAAAAATATAAAAATGATGTAGAAATAATTGCAATGTGTATCATGATGAAAACATTAAAAATCCAAAAAGTACCATTCTCTCTGTATTATATTTCAGCTGAGTGTCTACTGGTGCAGGGGCTAATATGATGTTAATCAATTTGAATAATTACAATAATGTGAAATCATTGAATATTTCAAACATTAATAGTCATGGGCAGTGTCTCAGTTGACCAGTTTGTTTATTTGCAAATTATAACTTTTTGCAATTATCTTTCTCTTCTGAAAAGATTTTGTCTGAAGCCATAATTAACATAATCAGCAATTTTTCTACATGTCAACAATAATTAATAAGAAAATATAAAGAATTTAAAGAAGTACAAGAACCTAGCTGTGAAATAAGAAAAATTAACAAAAATATCAAAAGGCATAGATGAAGGGAAGCATAATTTTTTTCCTGAAGGACATAAATAAAAAGATTTGAATGACCACAAAGACCTGGTGGCAAGGAATACACAATAACAATGATATCAGGTGAGGATTTTACCTGAATTATTTTCTGAATATAATGCAAACTGCGAATTATTGTTCCCATTTGAAAAATGTGGGGAGTCTTAGAAATTGCAAAAGAGGATTTAGCAAAACAATTATAAAGTTAATTTGGAAGGGTGAATGTGTGAAAATAATCAGGAAAATTAAGAAAAAATAAAAATAATAAAGAGGGACTTTACCAAATATTAAAATGCATTTTATATGCATTTTAAATTTTAATACAGTAAGCAAGGGATGAAATAATAGAATGAAAACCTAACAGAAAAGAATGTAATTTTCTAAAACTGATCCAAGTGCATATGGGTGTATATCATATAGCAAAAGTTGCATTTCTACTACTTTGAAACAGTTAGATATGAGGAAATCTGAATGTAGATCTAGTTATAATCTTTCTTGAAACATAGCCAAACAAGCTTGAGATGGGTTAAGTATGGGGAAAAATGAATTGCTATGAAAATCCACAAAAGAATATTTGTATGAACCTAAAAATATACCATTAAACAGATGTCCATACTAGAATCCATAAAGAAAAAATGTAATTTTAGGTACATTAATATACAAGTATCTTTGATACATTTATCAATGTTTTACATTTCTAACATCCTGAGCTAAAATCAAAAACAACCTATGTATACAAAACCAGGCTTAGTGGCACTTGTCTATCATCCCAAAATTGCAGAGAATGAGGCATGTGTTTGAGGCCAGACTGGGCCAAGAAAACAAAAGCTGTCACAAAATGCTAATCAATATTCTTAATACAGGTGAAACTCTTCAAAAAGAGAATGGTAGCTGCTGTCATTACACAAATTCAAAATCTGAACTTTAGATTAGTGATATGAACAGAGAAGTCATAAAAGTGTAAGGAGATACATGAAGTGATTTTCAGCTTGGCTAACAACAGGTTGTAAACAGGAACAATGAATACGTATATTCATATGTATCCAGGACATGGGGAGGCAGTACTTCTGTCCTAAATATTTGTGATCTGTGCACACATCAGTGTAATTTCTTCAATATAAAATTGGCAACATATACTAAAATTGTAAATGTGTATGTCTTTTTGCTAAATTCATACACTATAAACATGCAAATTTGTAAGTACAGACATGTTTTCATGCACTGTGATGTTTTCAGGATGGAATCCTTTCTACTACACCATTTGAACATGGTTATCAGCCATTGCTTGAATTTTTCTGCTTTGGGAGAATATTTTAGAGGCAACATACTCTATTTCATGTCTCTAATACCTTATGCTCTGCCAATTAACATGATATTATAATTTTACATTTGGAAAGTGATTTAGAGAGTTTTCTGTTTCAGTTCTTCATAGTTATTTTTTTAGAACTCTAAGTCCTGCACTCGGATTTTAAGAAGGAGTTCCATAATCAATTACATGAGTTTGAAGGAAAGTTAAAGGCTTCTTGAATTTAGATAGCCTCTGACCTTTTCACATGCAAATATAGGCTATTCAAAATAGTACTCAATGTTTCCTAACCTAATTTGACCACCGAAAGCTTTATTTACATAGTATAAGTCAGTACCGATAGTTGACATAAATGAGTAAATAATATTGTTCCTTTCTCTCATCAAAATAGTCACTATATCATGTAGTATTACTGCAATGTCACATTAGGTAGGAAACACAGCTGAGAGAACACTTTTGACTTAAAGATATCTAAAGATTTGAAAACATATTTGTGTAATGTTTAAGCTATAATGACCTAAATTTCTAATACTGAGTATGATTCTTGTCAAACTTACATCCTTTATTAAATGTGACCTAATTGATATAATTAACTCCCACTACTTGTAATTCATTGAGCTCCCATCAACTCAGCAGACAGTGAATTCAAGAATTTCATCAAATTGCAAATAATTTTGCATTATGAAGATTTGAAGTTTTTACATTTGAATACACAGTGTAAGTTATTAATGAATCTTGGATTGTAATTATTCATAAACATATATTGAATTCCTCCCATGTGGAAGTCATTGAGTTTGATCATAAAAAATTGGCATATTCAATTAGCTTTCTGATAACCTAAAGAAAATATACTGTATCAGGTTCTCTTTCTTCATGAAACTATATGAAAACATAATAAAAGGAACTGTATTATGAAAACAAAAACTATTCTCTGTCTGCCATTGTGCTTTAGCCATTTGAATTTGTTTTAACCTTCTGTTGCCTACAAGTATTCAAACAATAGTATTTCAATATCTTAATATCTTTACTCTAAAACTGAAGTTATTTACATATTTGGCTTATAAAGTAGAAAGAGAAAAGCCTAAACTTTCTGGAGCTTTTAATAGTGAACTTATCCTCATAACAACATCACTATTATTCTCATTATATTTTTAAATGTAGCCATTTGGAAAAAAAAAACAGTCACATATCTAGAGTTTTCATTTGTCCAGGACTATGCACATATGGTGAAATCACAGTGAACTGACAAAGTAATTTTATAAAGAATAAGGAATGCGTGTCTTATTCCCATGGTAGCAAAAAAATTAGAGTAATACTTCTGGACATCCATTCATCATAGACTTTATCTCAATTAAATGGAGGCATCTGTTTTAGAACTATAACCCATGAGTAAATGAAATAGAAAATTGATTTTATTTTGCTTATACTTTTATAGTGTATTACTCTTAAAAAAAGAAAATAAAATCATTCCACTTAACTGAGATTATTTTTTCTTGGCACTGTCTTGGTCAGGACTTTACTCTCACATTTTCCAAACAGTAGCACTCCCCAAGATATATTACATTTTGAAGGTTATTTAGAACCTTTATAAAGACCCAAACATTGTATGCACACATGAATAAAAAATAAATAAATTAAAAAGAAAAAGAAGTTTTATATGTCAATGTACATTTGGAAGTATAGAAGTAAAATCCATATCAAGACAGGAATTTATTCTAACCTAGTCTGTTTTTTAACAGAGATCATTGATTTAAGTTGTGTATATATTTAGCAATTTTAGGTATTGCTATTCTGTGCTAAACAAATGATTCACAGTCATTAGTGAATAAATTTTAAGAACTAAATTTATTTATTTCTTATATAATACCTACCAAGTAATGGCAGCATTTTGTTTCTATTCACTCAGTATTTATAGATTTCAGCTGTTATGGAAATATATATGCTATAAAATATCCCCCAAAATTTCTCTTTAAGGATCGTAGCTGAAAACTTTCTTCATTAACTTTAAGATGATAATGCTCTCTTTGTGTTCTCAATCATGAACAAACACACACACACACACACACACACACACACACAAACACACACACACACGAATCCATACTTTTCTTTTATACTATCAAACATACACAATCTTCAGTGTATAGGAGAAATTGTTGTACCTAGCTCATACACGTGCATTTTAGGAAGAGAATCCAGAGATGGCTCAAAGCTGAGCTGATTTGGGATATTGTTTCAGAATTTAGAAAGGAGTTTTTATCATTTCCTTCAGTCTCTTCACATCTATTGAGTCCTCAGCCTGTTCCAGCAATCTTGTTACATAGTGACTTTGGTAGTCTCTGTGCTTTCACTAAGTGACCACCACCTCACCTGAATATTTTTCCTTGAGAGACATCTTTTGATTGGACTTCCATGCACAGATCACATATTTAGATACACAGTGATAAACTGACTTCAAATCAATCGATATTATATCAGGCATATTCTAAGCGAATTTTATTCCTAGAAAAATGTTTGGAATTAGAAAACTTGCTCTCAAGATCCTAAGAATGGATTCATGGGGCTCAGGATGTAAAGTTTTACTTGGTTAAAAAAAAATTAGACAGATAGAGATAATACTTCTGTTATAGGGAGAATTTATATTCTGAAAAACAATAAAGAGTATAGTTTATAACTTATAATTTTTAAAAGTATTATAGAACTGTCAATTTCTAGATCACAGATTCCAATATCTGCATTTAAAAATAAGGAAACAGTTGAATATAGTGGCATATACCAGTAATCCAGCACTCAGGAGGCTGAGGCAGGAAGATCATGAGTTCAAGGCCAGTCTGAGATATACAATGAGCTCATGGACAGCCTGAACTACTTAGAAAGTACTCATGTCAAAAACAAAAAAGTAGGTAAGTAAATAAATAAATAAATCACGTATACATAAAATAAACAAAAATAGGGAAGCAAAGGTAAGTCATGATAATTAACCCAGTTGCTCAGGTTAAGTCACAACTTTAGGATGCAATTTCAGCATAACTGGTTGCTCTATCCTCTCTGTCACATTTCCTTCACAGGTTGTCATGACTTGTCATTGCTAATTTAAGAATCCTATTTTACTTTGCACAAGATAATAGAAATGGCAAAAGGTTCATTTAGGTATTTAACTTGAGGCCAATATACCTTTCATCATATACAATGTAATAAGGATGGAGACAGTTCCTTTAAATCCATATACACATCCCCACAAAATTACATGTGTTGTTTAATTAAGTCATGACATTCTGATTGATAGTCACTATAAATTTTTCCCTGTCACATTAACCACTTAACTCCTTAGAACTCAAAGACTCCCCCAAAATGAAATGCCTCTGACGATCTCTTCAGTCTTCATGGGAAGTTACTCCTATAAGAAGAGTATATCATGTGTATAGGGAAAATTCATATATTCTTCAACTCTGGGTTATAGAAAAGAAAAAGTTACCTTTGATGTACGTATATTGGTCAATAAGTCAGCTTCTAGGGCTTTCATTTCCTCTTCTGAATCTGAGTAAAATCAAAACCTTATGATTACTATATAAAATCACAACTCATATAATTATATTTTAAACTACATATTTTAAATTAATCTCAAACAGTTTTAGAGCCTTAGTGTTTTTCTCATGTTTTTATCTTCTTTAAAGTAGTATCCAGAAAAGAATTATAGTTTAATTTTGTGCTGACAGCTAGAATAGCAAAACTACTTCTAAGAAACATGGTAACTTGGTAAGAGAGGTATTTATGATTTGGAGTTGTTTAATCTCTGAATCTCAGCAAAATATTTAACAATATTGTATAATATAGATTTTTATCAAATATCCCTACAGTAGGTTATTTTTAAAAGCTAATACATGCAGGAAATATACATATTGGTATTTAATAAACATATTGAAAATATGAGCACAAGAGACTTTTTAAGACAAACCCAAAGGGAATTGCTTACTGATAATTTTAGAGTAAAAAAGATAATGCAATTTACTCCTTTTGAGATGATGTTATTTTACAAAGCAATCTTTGAAAGAAATGTTTCCTACTTCAAAGAAGAATTTTGAATTATGCGAATTATGTATACTTTGTAATTTTTTCACAAGTGAATAAGGAAATTGTTTAAGTAAATGTGGATCTGTCCATCAAAACAGGTAAAGTAGTAATGAACTTGGAGCTCAGATTTTTTTAATAATATCCTTTCTACGTTTTCAAAGTGAGTATTTTATAGAGCAGAACCAGTCAGAAAATACAAAAGGTAATAAAATCAAGTTGTAGAATATTATAAGGTGACTAAATTCATATCATTAAAGTCTTGTGATAACACAGGTGAAGCTAAAATTTACTATTCCTTTCACTTTATACTCTTAATAAAAAGCAGTATTCCATTTAACAAAACCATTTGATAAAGTGCATCTAGGAAATAAATTATATCAGAGATCATTTCTCTCTGTTAGAGTTTCAGTATGTTTTTCAAAAAGTGTAGAAAATCCCATTAGTTATTTATGAACAATGTGCACCATACAGTTTTGGCTTATCACCAGAAGTAGTTTCAAGAGCTAACAAGGCACTGTGTTTAATCAACAACCCATTTTTTCACATACTGTATACTTTTAATATCTGCAACTATCAGATAACATTGTAATTGTGGAAAAGTGGGTATTTTTTCGTATAATATTTTGAACATTAGAAGTTCAAGGTCCTTTTCTAAGTATCAAAAAAAGACACCTTTTGCACAAACCACATTTTTATGTTCTGCTAAATTTTAACTTCAAACTGAAAAATCATTGCCTGAGTTTGAAGTAAATATTTCTATGTCGTATTTATGAGACACAAAAGCTATGAAAGCATAAGACAGGTTAAGTGATTTTGCTACATTTATCTCATAAGATTTTTCACTTTGATATAACTATTCAATTTTTTCAATATTAATTAAAACATGCTGGAATCATTATGATATTCTGTGTTGCTTCTTTCATTAAGTCTTATTTTCACAGTGAATTGATAGATACTTGATAATTCATGGTATCTCACAATCTAAAGTCAAATATTTCCATTAATTCAAGGTTAACAATTTTCAAATTATATTTTGTATCCGCTTAAATGAGAAGCAAAAAGTCCAATTATATAATATCATGCCTATTTTTTCAGAAAGGTAAACTATAAAATGACCTTTATAAAAGGATTTGGAGCATTTTCTGTTTTTTCTAGAAATAGTTTTCTATGAATGATATCTCATTTGCTTATTCAATTTTTATTTTTGGTATTTTAACACACAAAGAGAATTAAAAAACTAATTTGAGGATAGTTACAAAGGGAGGTGAGGGAGAAGGCACTAGTCCTGAGAATGTCTGAGAATGAGAGTAAATGATTTTGAATGGAATGCGGTTTAACAATGAGTTTGTGCATTGCAGACACCACCTCTGTATTTCTCATAATGACCAGACTAATTCAAAGTTTCATCTTTCTTTCCTTTTGTTGTATTCCAAAGGGAGACATGTAGTGTTACATTGAAATCCTTTTTATTGCATTGTAGATTTAAAAAAGGAAAACAAATCTTTCAGTTCTTATAATCAAAGACAGAGAAACATGTTATGCACAGTTTCTATTACTAAAAGGCAAGGGAGAGAAGCTATTCTCCTTGGAAACATTAACCTAAATAGGAACACACTGTAAACGAAATCATTTCAGAAAGTTATGAAATGCAGCTAACTTACCTGAGCACAGACTCCAGGAGCTGAAAGCCAGGAGTATCATGCATACCAGATGGATTTTTACTCCTGCCATCATTTCTTTCAGTCTTCTGGCAATCCAAGTCCACGAAAGTCAGAAAGATACTGAAGGGAGCTCTCTTAGAGCCTTCTCTTGCTTTCAGCTGTCTTTGAAAGTGAGTGAACTATGAGAGATGCTCTGACCATTTCCTATATATGTATATGTGTGTGTGTGTGTGTGTGTGTGTGTGTGTGTAAGCAGGAGGATGATGTCATGACTGTGGGATTATCTTAGGATGTGCCCTGCCTTTATCTCCATCCCTTCCTTTCTCTCCCCACTTCCTCCTCCCCCTTTCCTTTGTCCCTCATCTCCTCCCCCACTCCTAAACCTTAAGTGAAAATGACGATCTTCCCTAATTGCTATTGTTGCTCAGGATTTCTGACTCACAGAAAGACTCTTTCAAAAGCACTACCATACACAGCATACTGGAAAAGAACCCCCAGTACCATTCTTTATCCATTTTTCTCTCATGTCCCCACTCCAGGAATTTGTCATTTTGATTTTGTGCTATATGAAATCTATTATTTCTATATATTTAAGCAAGTTCTCCAGAATAAAATCAGTTATTCCTTAGACTTAGATACCCTTAAAGACAATTTTCTGATAATGCAAACTTATGAGCAAATGTGTGTTTTCAGAACTAATTCAAGTTTTAGGTAATGCATGCCAGAATAAGAAGAAATTGTGGCAGAAAATCAGGTATGATGTTGGAAATAAGCACAATAATTTTTAAAAAGGAAAAAATCAGAAAAGAAGAAAGAGTAGAGCTCCAAGGAATTGGATTTTTATTTCTTAATAAATTGAAACGTTTTTATTATATGTAAGAATGGCTGAATTATACATGCTGACTTAGTTGAATGTCTTGGGAAACAACTTCATGTTTATGAAGTCCAGCTGTAAATTCCTAACTTGATAGAAGATTAAAGTGTATTGCTATATTACTGATTTATTTTCTGATTCTTTACTCTTTATCTGTCTAAACTGCTCAGCTCTGTCTTGATTTATTACTCTATCCCATTATTTCTCATCATCTTATCCTCGTTTTTCACTGCTGCTTTAACTTTCTTTCTCTGGCATAGCTCTGTTTTTATTATAAAAATCAGACTATACTTTCAGAATGAAGAAAATTCTATATAGCCACCATTCACCAAAGTCACATTTGTAAGACAGGATTTTCACGTATTTCATGAAGTTACAATGCTACTCATTCTTTCTCTCTGTTCTCAGAAGAAAACTGCTCAAATGCCTTTTGGAGTGAAGCTCTCTTCCTGAATTAAGTATTTCAGGATAACAAGGAATGATCTGAAAAGGCACTGCTATTAAGGATGTGAATATTTAAACGTAAAGGACTCTGAGATTTGTTTAATTTTTAAAGAAACCCATCATAGTAGTAATTGAGAGAAAAGGTTGGATTAATTCTAATAGAGTTGATTTATACTATACAATATATGTCACTGAGATTAACTTTTCCATCTTGGCCTTAAACTTAAGCAAAGGGATTAATTCCAAACATTGAATAACTATTTTGAATAACAAGAAGCCATTCATGCAATTGAATGTTCAGGAATTAAACAATTTTTAGTTTGCTTTATAATTGCATAAAACACAACAATGAACACGGTTCACCTGGGAGAACTTTTTTTAGAAAAGATAACTAATTGCAAAAAGAATGTGAAATAAGTCCAGAATATATATTTTTGATTTTACCACCACTAGGGGGCACAAGGGAAATTTAGATATAGTTTTATTTTCACTATCACAGCATCTTTGTGATAGAATGTTTTTAAAGCTACTCTGATGAAGTAATCAAGAAATTATATATTCTTTGCATGATATTTAAATTAGTTGTTTTCTCTGCTTTTGGAGTTGCAAACTCAAAGAATCTTTTAAAATGTGTGATAGCAGTCTAATAGTAAAAAGGAAGTGTGATTTCTGTTTTTCTCACTTGATTTTTTCAATAAGTGAAGTTCAGGAAAATGGTGGCAATTTTTTTCCTGATTAATTCAAAAAAGAGAAAGAATAGTGGAAACTCATTTTTAGTATACAGCATAAATATCAGTCGTTAATGTGAGAATTCCTTTTGATAAATGGTAAAGACAAAAGAATTGGAAAACGTGCTAAACAATACCAGATGATTCAAAAATCAAATAGATGCTTTACACTTTGGGGAAGAGAAAGATTTCTAACTTTTTCTGTTAAAATTATGATGTAGATAAGCTTTGACTTCTAAATGATATTTTTTAAATGTACTATCCTTTTCCTTTTAACCCTAATGTTTCCAAGCTACAGAAAATCCAATTAAACAATTTGCTTTAGGAGAGGAACTTGAGCATGGATATTTTCATGTAAAAAGCATTCTAGAAATTACCCAAATGTTGCCTTTAATGAAAGACTTTAGGCACCTTTAGATGGAGATGAATGAACTATTTGTTAAAATGGAAGATTGTTATGCCAAATCCTTCTAACTTTCAGCAAGTTCATAAAATAAGTAATAATGAGTTTGAGCATTGTCTTTTAATAATCTTCCTGTGTTTCCTTCCAGTTTTAGGTCACTAACTTTAAGTGGATGTGACTTTTCTGATTATATATTGATGACAAAATCTTTGCAGTTTGTGGACTGTTATGTTTCTATTGTGATTTGTGAGACATTTATTAGATAATTGCTGAAAAGAATCCACAGAGTTGCCTGAAGAATTGACAGTTAGGAAAAGTGGCCTGAAATTTATTTAATTTGGAGATGGGAAAGCCCTCAAATCATCTGCTGGCCAATGGTTCTTCAGTTCCATTTGATCCTTTCCTGCATGTTTGGGAGTCTTCTCACCTCATTAGCAGCTTCTTAGTCTCTCTAGTATTTCCCTACCTAAATAGCTACAAGTTGGTCTGTCATGTTTCTACCATCTGGATCTGCTGTCTATCTTCCTTTGAACATTCTGTCTCTCTTGGTGATATTATCTCTCATTTTAAAAAGACTGTACTTTATGATTTAGTCAAAGTAAATCCCCCAAATTGGAATTCTGAAACTATTGTCCACTTCTATTCTACCCAGTTTGGGCCAAGTTCTTATCAGTAGCTTGTTTGCAAAAACTCAACAATTGGAAGAAAAGGATTTACTTTCTTCTTCCCCTAAGTTTTACAATCCATAATTGTCCAAAACATATTTACTGAACTTAATTAAAACACAAATTACTTTTGATAGCTAACATATTATTTCCATGTTTCAATTTTTATTTGTTTCAGTCACTTCTCTTAAAACTGCCTTGTCATCATTAGCCTTATTTTATCTGATCTTTTAGAGTCAGTTTTCTCAGTCTTTCTTAACTGGAAAAATCATCTTTAAAAAATCATTGAAGAAGATCATCCTGGAATCATCAGTGTGGGTATTGGACATATTGTGGATTTATACTATTTCTCTAACTTAACCTCTGGATTGTAGCTGCAACTCTGATTCATCTGTGCTAACAATGATGTCAAACTCTATAAACCAAATTGATTTTTCTGTTCAATTAAAGACCATTTTCTAGAAATCCAGATAGATATGTTCACACACACACCCACGCCCACATACAGTATCTTATATATGCATAGAGCTCAGACCTTGGAGATTTAGGTAAATGGAAACCACATGTTCATTTTCCCAATTTAAGTGTAACAAAGCTTTGACCATAATCTCTACAAATTCCCAATTCATTTCCCCTTGGTTCTTCCTGTCTCTGTTGTTGCATCCTTATAGTAATTAACATGGAAAAACCAACAGTGGATTTGTGCAGTCAGAGCATATTTTGCAACTTGAATTCTAATTTTAACACATGTTTTGCTTGAGACCCACATGTTAATGAAACAAATACACTTAAGCTATCATTTGCCAATGGCAAATTCAACAAAACACTTTTTCTCTCTGGCACTGAGGATCAAACCAAGGACCCTGTGCACAGATAATAAGTGCTCCACCAGTGAGCTATACCCCCAGACCTCAATGAAAATTGCTTTCTTTTCTTATGATGTATTAGATATTGAATTTGGAGCATTAAGGTTTATAATTCTTGTTCTATTATCTTTTTCAATTTATAGTTTCTTCCAGTTTCTTCCCAGTGATCCTGATGAGTCTGGTGGCTTTGAATACTTGGTTTTCCCTAATAACCTCCTGATTTGAATTTCTGACTACTTGAATTAGATATCCAGTTATACCTTCAGAGATGTTACTTGGGCTTTCTTTGGATTAATTTACTGTCCACTAGAAGACTTTTGAATCTCTCACACAATCTTCTAAACATATTCTTTTCCACTGGTTGTCATCATTTGAGTTATTGGAACCATGATTTACTAATTTGTTCATATCAGAATTCTGGGATCGATTTACATGTTTTTATTCTCTCTCTCAGCTTCTATCACTATTTCTAAGCTATCAAAACCTACCGGGGGTACATGATTGTCATCAAAATGTATCCTAATTCCAATTACTTTTTCTCACTTCATTATATGGTCCAGATTCCAGACACCACCATCTTTCCCTTGAGCTAGAGACAGTGGCCATGGAAATAATCTTCCTAAAAAAGCCTTGACCTATTTCAAGGTAGTGATCACACAGGAGCCAGGATAGTTTTTGAAACTGAAAATCTATTACTGTAATTTTCTGCTTAAAATCCTCTAAAAGTTTTCCTTTGTACTTAGAACAAATTCCTGACCTTGGCCTAAATCACAATAGTGGATCTCTAGTGCCTTCCCTGTTGTTATGTTGGATCACTCTCTCCTGTCCTTATATTTCAAACATATTGTCCTTGTTTTTCTTCAAACATGCAAAACTTTTTCATGAGATCTTCCATAAACATTGTGATTACCATTTAGCAAATACTTATTCCTTGTCTCCTCTCAGAATTAATGGAATACCCTGCCTCACTCTTTGAACTTGACTTTGTTATGGGACTTACTTTGACCAATCATATGTTAGTAAATATGAGGAGAACAAAGACTTGATATGTGCCTTCTTTTCCTGCTATTGCCATGAGAAGAACTTTTCCTAGATGGCTCTCAAATGAGAGATATATGGAACAAAACAATCCCTCTTGCATCATAAACTTGCAGCGTGAATTAGAGGAGTCCTACTTTAAAGTAGGGTTTCTAGGGCTGAGTC